AGTTGTGCTGTGGTGTATGTGTATGTGTATGCGTGTGTTGTTGTGTGTTGTTGTGTGTGTGTATGTATGTGTGTATGTGTAATGTGTGTGTTGTGTGTGTTGTGTGTTGTGTGTGTGTGTGCCGCGCGCGACCGGCCGCGCGCGTACTAGGTTGTGTATGGTGTGTACGGTCGCAGTGTTTTTACAGGTGTGCGCGCGTGTATGTGTGTGCGCGTGTGTAGGTGTGTGCGCACGTGTATGTGTGGCGGCGCGTATATTTAGAAGGTAAGTAATACGCTTTCATAGAAGATAAGCTGTTCTCACTCTGTTAGTGCAACTGTTGCGCTCAACTAGGAAGGCATCGATGATGTCCCGGATGTTATTTGGGTCAAATGTTTCTTTGTGCTGAGAGATTCGCTTCTCCAAAAACTTGTCCAACTCCGCAAATGTTGACAACAGTCTGGAATAGAGGGGTTAAAACCGGATCAGTTCGAAAAAAATTCAGATAAATCTATATATCGAATATAAAGTGTAGTCAGCGAAGAACAGATGTCAGTCTCTCTCTCTCTCTCTCTCTCTCTTCTCTATATATATAATAATATATATAAGCTTATAGCGATGGGAAGAATTTTAAAACCCCATTTTCTATGAAATCGTATAGAATCGTATGTTCTATTTGCAAAATACGTTCTATAATCATATGCCGAAAGTCGAAGCCGAAAAACTCGCGTAAAGACTAGAGTGTCTATACCTGGCGGCTATCGCCTGCTACCGCCGCCGCCGCCGCCGCCGCCGCCGCCGCCGCATCCATGCAAAAAAGCAGCGATTCCCAGCGCGCTTATAGTTTTCGCGAGTTTTAAATTGAAACGAACGTCTCGTCTAAAACGGAGACTGGAGACCGGGCGAGCACGCACGCGCGGCTCGGCATGCCAATATAGACACGCACGCGACAGACTCGCAAGTTGAATCGGCTAGGGCTGCTCGCCGCTTCCTACGCGACACATGCGGTGCGTCCAATACACGACATGACAGCGGCACGCTCGCAATGAACGCGCTTATTACGATGAGGATGAGGAGGATGATGATGATGATGATGATGATGATGATGATGATGATGTCGGCATCTTTATTTCCACACCGCTCGTTCACAAAGCCTGCGCAACCCTAGAAAGTAATAACTGCCCAGGGCAGCTCGACAGCCACTGCATCATCATCTCTCCGTATATATATATATAGCCTCATAAGACATTTTTCCCCAACGACACGCTATATCTGGATTACGACGTGCCTGTGGCGCTCTTCAGGTGGTTGAATATATCGAAGGGTCGTTCTTGCTCTCTGCTGACGTGTTCTATGACGACCCGTAGCTCTTCATGTATGCGTCCTTCCTGTGATCTCCTCCCGACCCCGAATCCACGGAAGCATCGCAGCGTGAACTTCCGTAGTTCCATCCAGTCAGACCCGTCGCCGTTTAAGAAACCTGCGGGAGGGAAACAATGGCCATGCTGTAAAGTTTATTGATGCACGCCAACATCAAGCATACATCAAGGACCGGGGTTCCATTGTCAGAAACATCATAAATAATCGACTATGACATCAGAAATAATGACTATCGTAGGTGTGACATCGCTTTTACATGACATTTAACTTCAAAAGTATATATTCGGTGGCATGGTTGCTATTATTTATCACTGTTTCGAAGTTGACATTTTTTCAAACGATGGTTTGGGATAAAAAGGCACGGACTAGTTTTAGAATTCGTTCTAAATATCAGCAACGCCTCCCCCCCCCCACGCACTCACCCGCCGGTTACATTGTCCACGCTTTCACAATAACGTGTGCATAGTTTTAATTAGTTTTTCTCACGACGGTAAAAATTGATAGTCATCGCAAATGAAATTAGTGACGTCATAGATATTTGTTAAATGATGAGGTCATAATAATGACGCATATATGATCTCTGTTCGGGGCTATAGCGCATGTAGGGGACCGTACCATAGAAATGATATTTGGTTATACAGCGTATTATTGTTATATGATCAGAAGTGAATAAAAAAGGTTTGTCTTTATTCACTCCCGATGTGATCTCTAGTCGCGGGCGTACGCGACCGTGGCGCCGCCAAGCGGCCGTACCTCCCGCTCCCCCGCTGATCTCCTTGTGTATGGCAAAGTGGGGCCTGCCGGTGAAGCAGTCAGCCTGTCCGACGAATGCTTCCTGAATCGCGGCGTAGTCGTTGAGAACGATATTTGGTACGCAGCCCATGACGAGAGAGTAGACGTTGCCATACTGCCGAGCCAGCGCCTACAGACAGGAGACTACAGACAGGAGCAGGCGAGTGCGAAAACGTGGAGCACGAAGGAAAAACCTGCTCCTGCGCAGTACGCAGGTTATTTACTATCCGCGATAGTCAGCGAGAAGATATGAGAGCTGTGAGATCGTGCTCTGGATGGAGCAAGCAGTATGAATATACTAGGGTATCAGTATAACAGTTGTTTAGCACAGCGACAAGTCAGCGCGTTTCAAAGCGCGCCCGGTCAACTTTAAAGTGGGGGAGGGGATATAGTCTGGACTAGCACGTATTTAGTACGGGGTATAGCGTGTACACACTGCTAAAATTTCGCCCGGGCCTGCATGGTCCGGATTAGTTTGACTTGGTATCATTTTTTGCGATCTGTATTGGGAATGAAACGTGTCTTCATCGTTGCTGACATGATCGCGCTCACTCCGTCTGCATTCGCAGGCGATTGCAGCCCGATGAAAGCCGATGCGCCTTGAAATCTACCAGAATATTCATTCTTCGAAACATATTTGAACGGAATCGATCGGATTTCTCGTGCTTCACGTGTTGAAATGGCCTAGTTTTTATCGCTTCTAACTCCGAGTAATGAGGGCAGGGCTTGGCTATCGTATCGCTTGAACATCATGGTGCAGCGCGATTTTTAAAACGCTTGGAATCGAGTTTGGAATAGAATAAAATGGAATAGAACGCCTGGAATAGAAATTGAAATTGAATTTTCAACTCAATTACACCGATCGCAAAATGGCGTGTGACACACATGTGTTTATACGTACCTGTAGCGGCCGATGCACGGCTATATCTGCGACCAGGTGTAAATTCCCGATGATCGGCAGCGGATACGGTCCCGGCGGTAGCTTTGATCTCTCGCGATGCCTCAGGAACAGTACGATGACCACGTAAGCTAGTAGACCAACGATGATGGTCTGCACGATCAGTAGAAGGCCAGCCTCCATGGCGCTATACCTCCGTACATGTACGTGCTAAATTCGCGAGGTTCGTGCGTACTTACCACACACCCACGGTGTACTTGTTGCTAATGGTATAGTTATACTTGCCAGGTCAGCTGCACTATCGCTGCCAGCTGAACGTTGTGGCACCCGGCAAAGGGGAGAGGAGATTTTTCAATGACACCGGCTTGAGCCCTCGATGACAGTCGGCGCGAGTATGGTGAGATCTGCGAGAGTCGGCCTGCTTGTATCGTACGTGCATATGTGTTTCCACACACCACGCAGATGAATTTATATAGATCGCTGGTGTCGACACACTATCGCCAGTATGTGCATGTCTCTCTCAGTCGGCCGGTCCTGTACTCTGTAGGCCTACTTCTATACCCTGGAGCTTGCGTTGATACTATAGTTGTGTGAACCAAGGTCGACCTGTCTCGCGTTGCCTGAATGCTTGCACTACTCATACTAGCTGCTAGTGAGTAGTGCGTAGGCATGTGTGTTTGTGTTACGTCTGTGTATGCGTATGCGTGTCACTGTGTGCAGGCGTGGGCGCGCATGTGTGTCTATTATAGTTGCGTGTGTATGTGTAGTGTGTGTGTGTGTGTGTGTGTGTGTGCGTGCGTGCGTGCGTGCGTGCGTGCGTGCGTGCGTGGGTGTGCGTATGTATGCGTGTGTGTGTGTGTGTGTGTGTGTGTGTGTGTGTGTGTGCGTGCGTGTGTGCGTGCGTGCGTGCGTGCGTGGGTGTGCGTATGTATGCGTGTGTGTGT